CTTAAAAGCCCAGCCACTTGACTCTAATTATGTAGTGGGGTGAAGAAAAATAGAAGTTTCTGACTGCCCCTGGTTATATTTCATTCACCTTCGGCGAATGAAGTATATTTTTAACCTAAATTCCTACCATGCCAAACCCAACCAGGAAGAGGTGGGCAGGGTGCCACTGTGTTTGATTTATTACATGAGCAATATCTTAGGAAACTGAAAAGATAAGAGGCTCTTATTTTATATTCCAGATTGTCAATATTGGTAATTTGAGGTTTCTAATTCGTATAAAAATATAGACTTAGTATTTTGACTTCAGAAACATCTAATTTCAACCAGTGCTGCATTCAACATACCATGTGATACACATAAATCGATGTTTATCTGTGCTTTTTAATATTTACTTTTAAATTAAGAAATTGAATCATGTATAGTACTAAAATTTGAATTATAATCTACAGTTTGATACCAAACTTATTGCCATTAATTCATGAAATAGTAGTTCAATAAAATTTTGAATGTGAGTCAACAAACAAGATAACATGGCTTTTCACTCGTGACCCGTCTCGAAAGGATTAAAAATTGAAGAAAATGTGTCTTTCAAAATGTAAAACTTACCTTAAGAGCATAGCTATCACAACAATGAATAGGGTTAAAAAAATCACAATTATTTTCATAAAAACAAAACTATAACCATAATACATGTAATCTCTTATCTAAACTTACTGTAATTCTTTCCAAGATGTTTTATTCATTCTATACAGCATGTATGAGATTATCAAGAAACTAAGACTAAGTAATTTATGTACAGTATCTAATAACTAAAATTTTACAAGACCTCTTATCATACCATAATTAAACAGAAAAAAAAATACTCAGATTGCTCTTCAAAGAATTTATGAAGCAGTAATTTGTTTACACAATTTGTTTTAACAAGATTTTTATCAATACTCTTACACTTATCTCTATCTAAGAGCAAAAACAAATTCACACTAACAACATTGTCCATCTATTGTAAAATATAATATTAACAAGAAGTGTAGCCCTGGAATTGTCAAGGAGTTTTTAACAAATACTTGTACACATACATACATATACACACACACACATACTTAACTGTCAAAAAAAGCCCTTATAACTTACTTAAACCTTCGCTCTGATTTCTTTTTCATGGTATCCAATTCTCGCTGTATGTTCAAATCAGTCCTCCTGAAATAACAAATATATACATATATTATGTATATTTATATATATATATATATAAATATATGTATATATTATACAATTTTTCAAATAAACCGTAGTACGTCAAAAGTGTACAGGCAATCACTCAGCACTGTATAGCAATGACAAAATTATAATATAACGTACAATTCATTTATTGTACATGTAGATGTACGTGCCAACAAGTACGTGAACGTGTCAACAAAATTCTAACATAACAATGTAAAATTATACCATTTGTACAAAAGGTATAATTTTAAAGTGGAAATGTCTGCGGTTATGGGGATATTCCATCTATCAGACATAATCAAAACAACAGGTGCAGATCTAGTCAGTATGTAACTGAAAAAAAAAAAAGGGATTAGGATCTGGGTGCTAGAACCCGCAACCTTCTGTCCCACCAATCATCCAATCTTCTCCTTAGTATATTTACTCCAATATTAAATTACGAAATATACAACCTTACTGTACATTTCAAGTAATGATATTGACACTTTATCAATGCAAAATATTAATAACTATTCAATATAGTATACGCAGTAATACTTCAAATAATATTTCAGTTAATGTTTTATTATTAACTATAAACCCACCCATATAGTTCTGCTACCCCTTCCTCCTCCTTTCTAAGGACATGACTTTCAAGTATAACTGGGTAAACTGAGCTAGGCCCAGTTGCCTGAAGTTGGTCTTTCCAACCCAGAAATACTGAAAGTATTATAAAATTAATGCTAGTCTTTATAATAAATCCACATATATAGTTCTGGTACCCCTTCCTTTCTAAGGACATAACTTTCAGGTGTAGCTGGGTAAACTGAGCTAGGCCCAGTTGCTTGAAGTTGGTCTTTCCCACCCAGAAATACTGGAAGTATTATAAAGTTAACGCTAGTCTTTATAATAAGATTTTATATGTTAGCGAACTCTTATTAAGTTTAATATTTCAAGTTCGAAATAATTGTACTCATTGTACAATTTCACTTCAGATGTTCCACATGTGGCACATTTGACGTAATACAAGATTACGGAGTTGTGTTGGGTAGCTCTCCCCCACTCACCATATTCTCCAGATGTGGCCCCATCAGATTACCATCTTTTTCGTTCGCTGAAACACCATCTTAATAGGAAAACGTATGCAAATGTGGAAGGTGTTAAAGAGGACATTGACATGTTTTTTGCTTGAAAGCCAAGTGATTTCTTTAATCAGGACATTAACAACCTACCTGATTGTAAGATTGTAAAAGCATCATCAATAAGAATGGAGAATATTTCATTTAATAAATATTTTGTTTTGATGTATAAGTTGTTCAGGTTTTTTCATCTAAAAAAAATTTACATTAATTTCTTGATGACCTAATATAATAAACCTATAGGAGTTCTTCTCTTTAACTATAAAAATTCATTGTAGAATTTAATCAAACATAAGTTGACAACCAACCTTGTAACTGTATAATAGTGTTTTTAAAGATATCTTTCATAATCATATAGTTACAGGAAACTTAGAAGTAGTCAAAGATAAAGGATTACAATGAATATTAAAGATAAGTACTAAATACAGAATTTTAAAATACACAATAAATTTGAAATGTTAAAAGACTTAGAGAAATATACTGATAACTGTATTCTTAAAATAAGTAAACAATCCTATTATCCACCATATCTCTTTTTCGAATGGAAATTATATTTTATTAATTTAATAAAGAATCAATTAAGAACCCTAAACTTATCTCAATATAAATTATATATTTCTTTCAATATCTTTAAAAATAAAATAAATTCAAAAACAATTTATTATTACCTCAATTGATAAAGCTGGTTGTAATTTTGGTTTTGTATGTAAAAAGTATATGCACAAATTTTATTTAATAAAATTAATACTATAAGTACTTTTACTAAAAGCATACAGCATAATATCCATACAGATTATTCTTGTACGAATTAAAAATTTTTTATGCAATTCCAAAATTGCATAAAAACCTTGTTAAGTTC